TTGTATCAGAGACTACAAGCCAGTCCTATAATCTGCCAAGCTCCTCACCACTTACGCTCGTCACTGAACAAGTCTTGCCCTCACATCGTCTTCCAAGGGCTTCTGCACACATGTGCTGCACAAACATACACTCAGGTACATGAAATCACATAAATAGCTTTTCTTTAAAAGAAGATTCCTCTTCTTTTCATTATGCCATCTCAGCCTGTTGCTACCACCTGCCAATAGAAACTGTACTCCCTACCTGGTCTTTCTATATTTTGTCTAACCTCCTCATTGGTGCAGAAGAACAATTCTATATCTGTCAATTATATTTCAAATAAATGCTGATTGGTCATTAGCCAGGCAGGAAGTATAGGCGGGAAAACCAGAGAGGAAGTAGAGGTGGGACAATGAGAACAGGAGTATTCTGGGAAGAAGGAAGCTCTTTCCCCAGTCCTGCCCTGATCACCGAAGAAACAGGATGTGATCTGCCCCACTGAAAAAGGCACTGAGCCATGTGGCTAATATAGATAAGAATAATGGGTTAATATAAGTTATGGGGGTTAATAAGAAGCCTGAGATAATGGGCCAATCAGTTTATAACTTATGCAGACCTCTGTGTGATTTTCTTTGGGGTTAAATGACTGTGGGACCTAGTGGGAGGACAGGAACGGGGCAGGACAGAAACCCCAACAAGAAGGCCCTCATGTTACATAGCTGAGTAATACTACAATGTGTAAATGTATCACATTCTCTTTATTCATTCTTCTGTTGAGGGACATCTAGATTATTTCCAACTTCTGGCTATAATGAATAGACCAGCAATGAACATGTTTGAGCAAGTGTCTTCATGGTAAGATGAAGTGTCCTTTGGGTATGTACCCAAGGGGGTTATAGCTGGATCTTGTGGTAAATTGATTCCTATCTTTCTGGGGAACTGTCATGATATTTCCATAGTGGCTGTGCAAGTTTGTACTCTGGGCAGTAAGGAATGGGTCTTCCCCTTATTCCACATCCTCGTCAATGACATTTGAGATACTTCGGCCATGCTATGAGAATGAATGATGACAGATAACCTGAAGATAGCCCTGACTGCTTGGAGGAGTGCGCAGGATAAGGCAAAGAGGAAGACCCCAAAAACGCTGGATAGACAGCATGCAGGAAGACTGGGGAACCTTGGGCATGACAATGACACATGCATCTAGGACTGCCCAGGATAGGAACAACTGGAGAACTGCCACATATGGGCTGCCCATGCATGCTTAAGCATTGCCGGAGCATAAATGATGATTATGATAATATTATGTTTTACTTGTGTGTGTGTGTGTGTGTGTGTGTGTGTGTGTGTGTGTGTGCGCGCGTGCGCGCACGCATGCAGGATTGTTCCTATCATTTTTCTTTGAGTTATATTTTAGTACTAGTTTAATTATTAGTCATCTTGACTCTAGAAAGACCTGATATCAGGCTTTTTTAGAGGAGATTGCAGATTTGCCCTTAGTTCTAAGCATAATCTCACTGAGTAACGTGGTCTCTACCATGGCCAGAGAAAACCCAACGTACTTACCCCTTTCTCACATAGATGCAGTTGAGTCTTCAGCACCTTTGCCCCAGATGAGGCAGTAGCTAAATATCCAGGTCTTTGGCCTTTCTGCTCTTTTTCTCCCACAAGCTTTCTGTATAATGCAAGACTCCTGCAAACATGGAAGGGGTGTTGATTTGTGACCTCCTCCCTTTGTGATACCTGCCTTCTCAGATTTCACTTTCCAGTTCAGTTGCTCTGCTGGCCTGAGAACCTAGTTCATTCATCCCCATAAAACTGTTGCTTTCTGTTTAGGCGCTGTCTACTGTCTCACACAGCGAGAGTCTTCCAGGGAGAGCGGGCTAAAACCAGATCTCACCCCATGACCTCCCCATTGAAGTGGCACAGTTTCCCCAGTTTCTGCCATTTTTTGTTAATGTCCAGTGTCTTAAAGAATCCTGTTTCATATTTTGTCTGTAGTTTTAATTGTTGTCAGTGAGAAAATTCATTTGGAAGGAGCAAATAAATTTATTAATGCCATTGGATTTAAACTTGGAAATACATGATGCAGCAGGTTCAATATTTCTTAGCAAATACATTTTAACAGCAGACAAAGGCAAATAAACCCTTTTAGGGCAGATTTTTTCCAGTAAAAACACGCAGGCATGGCAGTTCCTGCTCAGTAGGGCCTCTCTGGTGCTTGGCGTGTTCTCTGTCTGTGGTCTCCAAGAAGCCATCATTTGCTACTTTTGCCTAGCTTCCTTTGAAATTTAATCTCTCTTTGCTACCACTAAAAGCTGGGGGAAAAGTGAGAGGGCTTTGATCCCTAGAACACAGTTCTATCTACTGTATAACCAGCACCATTCTGGCATTTAAAGACTATTCTGTTTGCCTGTATTGCTCTCATTTCCCAGACTTCTCTGCCCCAATCAGATAACTGAAAGTCTAGCTCATATTTTTCCTCCTCTTGTAATCTCAGGTCAAATCTTTAAGGGTATCATTATTCACATGGAATACAGCCAGTGACTAATGTTTATTGCTTCCTCTTTCTCCTTGTTCCAATTTTCTGTTTCTGGGGTTTTTTTTTCATTTATTAATGATCAACAGGAACTTTACCACAGCTGTAGTATGAGGGGCCTGCTTGTTAGGGTATCTGTCCCACCCAGTACCCCACAACCAGCAAACCCCAACGAAAATCACACATAGGACTCCATAAGATTATAAACTGATTGGCCCATTAGCTCAGTCTTCTTATTAACTAATTCTTATATCTTATGGTAACCTACAATTCTTGTCTGTGTTAGCCATGTGTCTCAGTACCTTTCCCAGATGTCAGCTCACATGTTGCTTCTTCGGTGATCTAGGCAGGAGTGGTGGAGAGAGCTTCCTGCTTCCCAGAATTCTCCTGTTCTCATTGCATCACCTCTACTTCCTGTTTGGTTTTCCCACCTATACTTCCTGCCTGGCCAAGCAGCATTTATTTAAAATATAATTGACAGATTACAGACAATTCTCCCGCACCACACAGCTCTGTGCTGTTGGTGCCTGGGGTCTCTAATTCACAAATTTCCTCTCTTTACTGCATCTTTCTTGTTACTGAGTACCATTTACCCTTCCCACCTCATGAGACCACTCTGCCCTGTATGTGTGTTAACATTACATCCTTCCCCTTTGCCTCTACCACATTGCTAAATTCTAGACGGAAGTCAGATGTGCTTGTTTACACCTGCTCACAGAAAATGGGGGAGAAAAACAAGAGATAAAGCAAGTTCTTTAATTCTTTCTTTCCTTTTCATATATTTTAGTTTTCTGAGACAGAGTCTTGCTATATGGTCTAGTCTGGCCTCGATTCCCTACCCTTCTGTCACCTTCTTGGATACTGGGATTTGAGCATGCATCAAACACAAGTGGCTCCCTCCTGCTGATGATCGTGGAAGGGTGAGGTATCTCCTGATGCTCTCATGGCTTCTTCAGTAGCCAAGCGGTGGATTAGCTGATAGCCCGACTCTACACTGATCCAGCACTGCCACCCTCCAGCACATCCCCTTGATCCACCCTGGTTCTCTGTCTTTCCATCTAAAAATAAAAACATTTGAGAGCTGGAGCCCCTCACTCACAGCCCCATCTCTATATTTCACCAGTCCAATCTGAAACCACAGAGAAACAAAGTTCAGGCTATCAGATGTAGTGGCAGCACAGGGCAGAAGGACTCAGCTCCACTCTGGAACCTGGGCTGATGAGGCCACCAGGCTTCTAGTTTTGGAGATTTAGGGACTGGAAACTCAGACAGCAAAGGCAAACCTGGACAGTAACAAGAATTCCGGGAGAAGCTGGGGCAGAGAGAATCCCTGGCTAATTTTCCCATTCTGCTGTATCTCTCACTCCTGGCCTCATGCCTTCTCTTTCCTATTTTTATCCTATGCCCCCACATTTCGTCAACAACATGTCCCCAAATGTGGCAAAATCATTCTTAGTTAATGCTGTTTATAAACTGAAACCTTCATTTATATTATTATATTTATTCAATAAAGTTTTGGGTTCTTTAATTTAGAAGTGAAATGATATTACTATTCAATAATATTTTTTAAAAAAAGAAAAAGTAACTTTCCAAGGTCTTTCTTCCATGTTATCTCTGCTGTCTCCTTCCTCTGCCCTTGATGAAGAAGCTATTATAGACAGTTGATTTAATTAGAGGGCCGACTTTGCTAGTTATTCCTAAATGCCTATTCTTCCATGGCCTCTCCTTTGAAATAGAATAAAATTGTATGGTGCACATATTTCAGAATAATGTTTTTCATTCTTAAATCCTCATGAGAGTTGTAAGCATTTTTATTCAATTCTTTCCAAGGCAACACCTTAGAAAGATGCTTCAGTGGGGTTAAAATATCACAAACCATAAACTCTGGTGTCTTTTGTCACAGGTCATCGAGGGGCAAGGACAATAGCCACATTCTCAGGTCTCCTCGCACAGTGAGAAAGGATCTGTCCAAGCGCTGGTGGTGGAATGCGAACCATCGTGTATTTAACCAAAGGAGAAGACATAAGGAGCCCTGTAGTGAGGACCCCGTCTATATAGCAGCTTGGTTGCCAACTATAAACATGCAGCCTGCTCTGTACAGATAAGCAGAGATGAGAAATTCATCAAAGTACCACGGTTGCTTCTTACAGACAGTTACACTGCCTATTTCCCATGTCTGGGACATTTTCTTCCCCCAACTTCAATAAGATAGCTTTTCTTGACTCAGATTTGATTTTGCCCTTACCTTGTCTTTCAAGATATTACCTTGAACGATATTTTTTAAAATTATTTGTCCATAACTGGATCCTTATTGTTTTCTAACCTTCCCCCCAAATGAGTATTATAAAAGCTGTTTCTTTTGGAAGGGGCAGGGAGTATCTGTCTGCTATGTAAAAACCTGAACTGTGTTATATAAATGCCCAGATGCATTTCAACACAGTGTTGATGCTAATTTGACTTTGTTGGCTTTTTTTTTTTTAATGAACGTAAAGGCCACGGGCATCATATCTAGTGAGGAAGAAACTATGCACATTTGCTCACAGCAATTTTGGTCCATTGTCTTTCTTTAAAGCTCTCTTTCTCCTGTTTAAAGTCCAGTGTGCTGCAACTATAACAAGGCAGATGATCGCAATAAAAGCGACTGCTATTAAAACCCCTTTCAGTACCAGATCATCTCTGCTCAGTACAGGAGCAGAGCTGGGGGAAGTAGACAGCATCACCAGGGCAATGTTGGACACAGCTGACCTCAGGGAGTTGTGGTCCACTGTTCTCATGGCCACATACACCATGTGGTTTTCCTGCATTTCTCCATCAGATTCAGGTTCAAGTTCACTGGTGACAAGCTTGGGTGAGAAAGTAAATGTCTCCCGGGTGCCAGCTTGCTGAGGGGCAAGCTCCGATGTGTTCACTAGAATGGCCTTGTCAAAGTCATCGCGAATTCTCTGTAGACTTTTACTCATTCTTATCTCATAGCTTGTAACTGAAATTAAGAATACAGTTGGGGAAGTTTAGTCACTGAGCATTATTTTTTAGTTTATTGAAAATGAGTAATGAAAATAGACACACACAAAAAAATCAAACTACCAAGGAATTCGCAACTGGAAAAGCACTAACTAGCAAGTCAAAATGTAAAGATTCATGCTACAATCTGACACCCATGAAGACTTGGTGGTTTTCGAAAGCAAGATGCAACATAATCAATATGTCATCCTCCCAAGGTCATTACGTACATTGTACATTTTAGGTGGTTTTATTTAAGCTGCCTCTAGGTTTTGTTTTAAGTAGTGAAACTTTTTGTAATGTTTATACAGAACACTGTTGTGGGATATTTGATCACACTGTGTGAAAATGTGTCACTTTTTTTTCTATTTTTTTTTTGATTGGTTTAATAAAGAGCTGAACGGCCAGTAGCTAGACAGGAGAGGTTAGGTGGGATTTCTGGGGAGACCACATAGCTTTTACATAGATTTCACCAGTGAGACACATAGGAAGTTGAACGTGCATTATGAAGAAGAGATAACAGCCACATGGCAGAGCATAATTTAACATAAATGGGTGAATTTAAGTTATAAGGGTTAGTTGATAACAAGCCTAAGCTAAGACCAAGCTTGTTTTTTTTTTTAATTTTCAAGTTGTATTTATTGATGTGAAATGGTAACAAATACCTCTGGGGCATATTTCCTGAAGCCTCGAGCCATAGCTTACACTGTGTTTTATCCAGGACTCTATAACATTAGGAAAAGGTATACTTTCATGTTGCTTGTGTTAGCACAATTCTACATAAAGTGCTGAGAAAAAAACATATGAGTCAAGTAAAATGACTGATACACCACATACTGTATTTCCAAACCAAAACAGAAAACCCTGTTGGGACTAATGAGTCCTGGCCTTCAGCTGCTCTTCCCTGTCTAGAGTAAGGCCAAGCTTTTGTAACTAATAATAAGTCTCCATGTCATTGTTTGGAGGCTGGTGGCCCCAAAAAAGTCTGACCAGAAAGCTTGCTACAGAAAACAATAAAAATGATGACACACACACACGCACGCACGCACGCACGCACGCACGCACGCACGCACGCGCGCGCGCACTGAAAACGAGGTACTGTAGGAGGAAAGGTAGTTACGTAACAAAGTCAGCAAACTTACCCCGGCCCTGGTCGAAGTCTTCTCCAGGAGCCGTCCAAGAGAGGGTCACATCCTCTTCCACTTTTACAGCTTCCAGGTCAGTAATTTTGCACGGCGGAAACATGTCAGGACGGGGGCCAGCTGGAACTCCCTGCACTGAGAAGGAGCCCCCGGCGCTCACTCTACTGAAGCCCCACTGCTCCTCCACACCTCTGCGTCCTGGTTGTTTTGGAGCATTCATTTGAATATTATCTGGAGCACAAAGGAAAAGCCAAATAGCAAATTACAGATCTTCTGCACAGCGTTGAGAGATGGCCGCCCCGTCATTAGAACTACTGAGTTTATTTAGTCAGTAATGTGTCCATTCATCCATTGATTCCTCCACACGTATTCTTTGGGGGCAAACGGCTGTGCTATGAATCAGACAAAACTCTCTCATGCATGAGATTTACAGCCATGGCAGTCATATCAGTAAATAGATATTTATAATCTGTGACTAATAGAGAGTAATAAAAAGGCACGGTGTTCTGCGAGCTCTTATCATCCAGGGTGGAACTGAAGAAGTAACATGCAGGTTTCCCAAAGGCTGAGTTGGTCAGGTAAGACGTGACAGAGGAAACACCCTGGGCAAAGAGAACAGCTCGCATGAAAACCTTGGTTCAGGAAAGTAGCAGGTGAGGGAGACTAAACTAAGAAAGAGGGTGGCTCCAGCTACAGCCCAGAAGTGATGTGTTTGCCTAGCATGCATTGCACCCGGAATTCCATCTCCAGCATTGCAAACAACAGAAAGCAGGAGAAGAGGTCTAGATGAGGCAACAGAGCAGGCAATAACTGACCTCAGGGATCAGTGCAGGGCTTGGGTTTGAACCTCAGGGCTATGGGGAAGCAGAGATTACAATTCATCATTTGGCTTTCCAACAGGTCCCTAGGAAATGGATCAGGCTTCAGTAAGCAAGAGGCCACTTAGAAAGAGGCTCTCAGTGAGAAATGGGAGCAGAGTGAAACATGGGAAGACAGTGGCAGCTGTCGATGAGGACTTCAGGGCGAGGCAGGGAAGGGTAGCCCCATGAATAATTCACACAATTAGCACAGCTGTTGATAGATTTGAATGTGGGATGGTGAAAAGAAAATTGGTTAAAAGCAGCTCCTAGACCCCGGGTGGGGAGATCCTGTAGGATCCCGGGTTTCCCCCTACTCCTTGAGGTGCAAATTGCAAGGACTGTTTTGGCTAGCCAAATAAGCTTCCTGCTAATTTCTGTGCTCTCTCTGCTCCAGCCTGGGGATCTAGCTGCAGGACTTTGTATTACTTTTGGTATGGTAATTTTCCCACCTGTCCAGGAGAACTCGGTGCCTAGTTTCCTCTCCACTGTCTGCTGCTCTCTCCCTGCCCCCTACCTACCGCCTGGGTAGGTATCTACCGACAGAGTGCCAGGCTGTGTTTTCCCTTCTGGGTGGGAGGGAATTTCCTCTTCAGGGACAAAGGTATATTAACTTTGCAGAAAGCTAAATAAAGTGGCATTTGGCTATCTCTTGATGAATGACCCTGGTTTCTTTGTGTCGTGTCTTTTGTTCAATCCCTAGGCCTTTGCCTCAAGCTCGTGATCGGTACCTAAGGCATGCGCGAACCGTGCCGGGAGGGTGGTGCAGATTCGGGTCCCACAAGTTTTGACAACTTGTCTTCTGAGCTCCACACACTTGCTTGGTGTGAACACACACAATAACAAACAAACAAATATTTTAAAAGTAGTTCTTAAAATAGTTTCTAGTTAGTGTAATTTGATAAAAGGTGACCAAGGAGTGAGAGAAAAATTAAGTTTATGATTCCTCTAAAATAGAACTAGGTAGATATGGGTTTTAATATTTAACAATATTTAAGTGAGATTCAATAATTACAAAATTAAGAATTTGGAGATTGTGGGCATATAAATGTTGTCAAAACCATATGGCTTAATAAAGCTATTTAATGATGATTTTTAACTTTAAGAAGTGGTGTTCACTGTGTGTCTACTATGGCAAGGTATTTTAAATATCTTGCTATATCAAAATATTCAATTCCCCCAGCAAGGCAATGAAGAAGGGGGCATTATTTTGCCATGCATTTATTGGTAATAAAACAGAGAGACACAGAGCTAAGAGAGTTGCTCCATGTTACACAGCAGCAAGTGGAGGAGCTGGGTCTCAGGACTGGGCAGTGCCACTCTAGAAGGTAGGGAAGACCCTGAGAGGTGGAGTAGCTCAGCCAGAGGGCACCTGCCAGGTGTACACAAGTGTTTGGGGCCATTCCCAGCACCGCGAAACAAGCCAAACACAAGCAAAACAAATCAAAGCCAATCAAGATGAGGTGAGTGGTGCTTGTCTCAAAATCCTCCAGGTTTAGAGATAAAAATGATTAGAAATGGTCCGAGGGAATGTTTTTAGAGACAGCACAGAACATCCTATTTCTGTTTTATTTTAGCTAATGCTTCCTAATGAGAACTGAAACAGTGTTTTCCTATAAAGAGAGTGCACACCTTCTGTTTCTTTGGCACTTTCCTTTGTGGGATAGCAGAACCTCGGCTCAATTGTGTATAATAGCCAAACTTATGTTTATTCAGGAACTCGCTTCCTGTGTTGATCTCTGGGGCTGTTAGCATCACGCTTTCAACTCTTTGCTCTTGCACAAATCTCTATAAAGGAAATCTGGGTCCCAATAACTTTGTCTGTTAGTTACTGCAAGCAAATAACCACAAGGCTGTATCAAAAAAAAATACTAAAAAAAGATCAATCTATAGGAAATACCTATTTTCTGTATTCTCTGTCACAAATCATTAAGAATTGAAGGAGCAGTCAATAGTGGCTTGAGTATGATTGTGTGTGTGTGTGTTACTGGGGACTGAGTCTTAGTTCATGCCAGGCAAGTGATCCACCACTGAGCTGTAGCCACAGACCCAAGGATGGTCTTAAAATTCCATGTCTCTCTCAGGTCTTTTTCTTCTTCCATCTACCTCCCTGAGTCTTGTCTTTGTCTCTCCTCCTCTTCTTTCTTTATCCTTCTTTCTTCCTTTATCTTTGCACACATACACACACACACACACACACACACACACACACACACAAATATTGCACACATTCACTGTGCAGATGGTTCTTACCGTTTGCTATATAACCTGGTACATACATGGCATGGCTTCCTGGAACAGAGTGGGCTAGGGTGCTGATGCTGGGAGAGTGACGGACACGCACTGTCAAGCTATATCTACCACTTACAGGAAAGGAGAAGAAATACCTGGAGTAAATTCCATCATTTTTTATAACATCAGCACCTGTGCAGATAGACAGAAATTCAGGGTTAGCCTGTCTTCAGCGTTGATTACTAATACTTAATGTTAAACATCTGTAGCGAGCAAAGAGCTCTCTGTGCTCACGGATAAGCACAGGGGAAGCTAGAATGGTAAGCACACAGGGTTGTTCTTTCGAGGGAAGGAATGCAAGACCTGCTCTCCCCCCAGGAGGCTGGGAGCAGGCGTGCTTTCTAGTCTGGTGACCTCTGTGCTATCTGTGTGGCCAGACCCTCGCTCAGACTCTTATCATGAGTTTTTCTCAGTCTCTAGCACCATTTTTCATGGGAAGTATCACATGTACTCCATGAAGAGTTTCCATGTAGTCACATCTGATCTTTCTTTAGCTTCTTTTGTTCCTCAAAGAGATTTATACGTGCTTTGTTGTGCACACAAGTTCGAGTTAATTGCCATGAGAAAAGTTTTAATCAGATTGTGCTGTGCTTACATCTGCCCAAAATGAAGCACAGTGTGTTAGACCATTGACATTGGAACTGAACTACCTTCTTGCCCCCTGCAGATGGTCTCTCTGCAGGTCCCCAAAGGTCTCAGAGATACTCCCCTCCCCTGCAACATTATTTCCCTTTGACACATGTTACTGTAGCTACTTTTGATATTACCATGTAGTTTAAAATAAGTTGGCATCATAATTTCTTCCTGTGATTACTTTAGCTCTGAAAATTGTTTTCTAGAGCTGAGCAGCCTATGAAGAGATCACTCTGAATGCACCCAGCTTCATGACACCTATTTCAAAAGGAACTCTTGAGAATCATCTTGGAAGCTCTCATTTGTATGATCCCAAATAACAATAGAATGTATTGTACTAAAATTTATCTTTAATTACAAAACTAATAATAATTTCTAGAGAAGCAAAGCATTCTTAAGATTATTTATGGTCACATGGCCATATTTATTCACCCCTTTGAAATAAAATCTGTCGCCAAAAGATAAAATTCAAAAGCACTTACATAAATTTTCCTGTTAAGTGCAAGACAAGCCTTTGTTTACGAGCCTTGAAAGAAATAATAAACAGCTTTGGTAGCTGATAAAACAGCATGCAGCTAGTTGATTTCCTCACTAGGAAGGGACTAGAGTCATTTAGAGTGGAAAGAGTTCCCTGAGCTGCAGTTGGCAGGCTTTGGTGCCTGTCACTGTACCTCGCTGTAGGGAGTGTTCTGAGAGTCTGCCGTCCTGTGTTGTGATTCTCAGAGGACAGCACAATCCAGAGTCAAGTGCGCAGCTCTAGACAGAAAACACTAGACCCCAGGACAGCAATGCCTTTAAGGCAGCCTACCACACCGAGCAAGCATCCTGTCATGTCCCCCAAGGTCATTTCAATCCTCACACCACACCTTGGGCTCCAGATATTGATGCTGTGTTATTATTAAAGTGCTCTGAAACCAGCTTTCCCCACTACAGGGACAATCGTGGTCACGTGAGAAAATTGGGGCTCTGTTTATATAAAATAAGTGGTAACCATCTTACCCATGAAGATATAGAATTTTTTTGACAAGGGCAAGAGAAACAAATCTTGGCATTTAGATGCTCTGTCTCTGTTGAGATATTGCAAAGGGAGATCCGTCCATCCTACAGCTACCATGGCCATCTCTTCTCACGGCTGTCAGAAGGAAACAGGACAGAACCTTGTCTAGGGAGTCAGGGAGCTTGGGTTTAACTTATGGATCTGTACCCAGACAGCTTTGAAGCTGACTGCCCCTGAACCTCCATTTATATTATATTTAATATCTATAAAATGGGTGGGGGACCCCTTCCTCTCACTGCTCCAAGAGCATCGCTCCCAAAAGATGCACACTCAGCGGAAGTAAGGACCTTTCCTTTCCCAGTCGAGCAGGACCTATCTTTGATCAAGGGTTGTATGAATTGCTGGGCTCCCCTTCAAACAAGCTCTCGAGAATCAGTTAGGTTGAAGGGATTTCTCGGGGATCATTAACACCTACAAAACCTTGTCACAGTGCCACGCCCTGCTACTCCCTGTTACCTGCTCCGTTATCCAGAAGTTGTAGCATAACGGGATCTCCAGCCTCTGGCTCCACTGTTGCCACCACAGTGGCATTAAGAATGGGATATAGACCCTTCCTCACGTTCGCGTAAATTATCACCGGCTGAGGAAAATGGGTGCTGTCTCTTTCCACAAAGGCTTCCACAGTGGCTGGGTATATGGCCAGGCTAGAGGCACGGGAGGCCACTGTCACTTCCAGGGCTTGAGGAGAAGGATGTGTGTTGTTCAGCATGTAAGTCCAGTGCCCATGCTGAAAAACAAGGGGTTGTTTTTGTCAAGTGTGAAGAAGAAAGAAAATTATTGATGCTGCAATTTTTCTTGATTGAAGAAAAGAAATTAGAAAAGGCACTGTTAACTAAGTGATGTCTAGCCTGTCACTGTCACTGTTAGACCGCTCCAGAGAATAAATACATCCTGAATTTATTTGAGGACACATTTTGCCTCCCAGTTTTAGAATATCATGGCAACCATCACAGCATCAAAAAAAATTTTGCAAGGATTAATCTGGATGCCTTTACTCAAAAGAAAGTTAAATACTTTAGTTCACTGATAAAATTATATATATTAAATGGACCACTGTGGTATCCACCAACACCCTGGGCTAATACAGTCACTTTCTTTTGTTCTGTGCCTTTCAAGGCCCAGACATTTCAAAGAACAAAAAATACCTACACCACCAGAACATAATAGAGCCTATGCCCAGTGATGTTGGGGCAGACCGAGGGGCCACTGATAGTGACACTGGGATTTGTCTCTACAGCAAGTACCGGCTTCTTGGGATCCTATTCTCAGCTTGCTCAACCTAGATGTAGTAGGGAGGGCCTTGGACTTTCCATGGGGCAGAGTGCATGGTCCTCTCTTAGGATTGGAGGGGGTGGGGTGGGAGGGTCTGTGGAGGGAGTGGAAGGGGAGTGGGAGAAGGGGAGGGAGTGGAAATTTGGATTGATATTTTTAAGTAATAAAATAATAATAACAATAAATATCCACAAAATGGTTTTATAATTTTTTTGATGAGTCGGCAAATGTCACACATTCAAGCATGTGACTTACTGGCAAACCCTACACTTGCCTGAGCATGGCCAGGTGTGAAGAGGCTCCCACACTGACCTTGGCAGTTCCTGGAACCCGAAGGCTAGCTGTCCGAAAGGCCAGGTTGATGACAAAGTCGCTAGTGTTATACTTTCTTCCACTGGGATCCAGTACTGCCATCTCAGGGGGCTCACTGGTCTGCCACGTGACTTGGAAAACCGTGTCATTGCCCACGGTCCCATCCACAGTCACAGAGTTCGTCTGTTGCCGCCGAGGTGGCACAGTTTCATACACGCTCTCAAGCTGTTGAAGAGAATGCATGTGACGGTTTCCCGTGAACCCCTCACGTTCCCTTCCTTTACCTTGCTTTTGTAATGAAGAAATGACTGAGTAAAAGTAAAATACATTTACTTCAGGTGTGTACTGCACATATATAGATCAAAGCAGATGATTGCACATTACATAACTAGTTACAAAATACCTTCTTACAGTTAATGCAAGTATAATGCTTTATTATTTTTGTTTGTGTGTGACAAGGCCTCGGGTAGCTCAGGCTAGCCTTCAATTGCTGACGCTTCTATCTCTAAATACAGGGAGTACAGCTGCATGTCACCTTGCCTGACTTCACTATTTATCTGTTTGAATGTTTTCTTGTGGTACTGTGACTAAAGCAAGAGCCCGTGCCTGCTCGGCAAGTGTTCTACCACTGTGCGACACCCCAGCCCACTCCATCGCACTTCACACGTAACTTAGTCATGAACTCATGAATATAGGTATTGACTTTACATCTCCAGTTATGATAATGAGCTCTTAGGAGATTTTGTTCGTTAATGTTCAAATGGTTTGGATTTGTATAACTATATCCACATCCTTTTACAAGTTTTAGGAAGAAACTTAAAAAGGAGTTTAAAAATTATATGGTGATTGCATTTTTGCTTTGCAAGGAAGCTTAATGACATTCTCCTCAATTGCTCCACCCACATTCTTGTCAACAGAGTGCAGTTATCACCAGCGCTTCATCTTTGTCTTTTTGTCATCAGCCATTTCTTCCTGGAACAAGGTGACCTCTCAGTGTGGTTTTAATCTTTATGTCTCTGATGAGTAATTATTTTAAACATACTTTCATACACCTACTGGCTGTTTGCATGTCTCCCTTTTACAATTGTCTGCTTGGTCTATTGTCCAGTTCTTGTTGGGTTTTTGTTGTTGCCTTGTCTCCTTCCTTCCTTCCTTCCTTCCTTCCTTCCTTCCTTCCTTCCTTCCTTCCTTCCTTCCTTCCTTCCTTCCTTTTTGAGATATGGACTCACTATGTACCTCTGATTGTCTTGCTCTATAGACCAGGCTGGTTTTGAACTCACAGAGATCCTCCTGCGTCTGCCTCTGGATTTCTGGGATTAAAGGAGTGCACTTCCACATCCAGCTTATTTTCGACTTTTAAAAGATGGGGTATTTTCACTTCTTGCTGTAGAGTCATTGGAGTTCCTCATCGATTTTGGATATCAGTCGCATGTCAGAAACAGAGCTTTCAAATACTGCTTCCTTCCACAGGCTCCGTCTGTGTTGGACTGATTGTTTCCTTCGTGAAGCATATTTTTAGTTTGATGCAATCCCCATTGGTCAGTTTTAGTCTTTATTTCCCAAGCTTTGAGAACATTATCCCCTGCTTCCATCACCCCACAAAAAAACCCATGTTCATCCTCATGTGCGGAACTATTTCCACTACGTTATCTTCTAGGTCAGGCTTACTAGGAAGAATTTTGTCTCTGTTGACTTGGGTTTTGAAACTGGTGAGTGGTGGGTCTACTTCCATTCTTCTGCCTGCAAGCATCCAACTTTTTAACAACATTTATTGAAAAGTTTGTTCTTTCTTTGTTGCGTATTTTCAATCCTTTTTGTCAAAATTTGATTGGCTAGCTGAACACAGTGGTCCATGCTCATAATCCCAGCACTTGGGAGGCTGAAACAGGAAGACAGCTGAGAGTTTAAGGCCAGCCTGGGCTAGTGGGCTAGCCTAAAAAATAGTTTGGCTAAGCAGAATGCTACTGGTTGGCAGAGTTGTTCTATAGCACTTTCACTGTCTCACCAGGCCTATAGAGTTTCCGCCCAGATGGCTACTGTCTGCCAAGTTTATGTGATATTTGCTTCTTTTTTTTATGAATCTTCACTTTATCTTTGACCTTTGAACACTTGATTTCAGTATCTCTTGAGACATTTATTTGACTTCTGGTGATGGGACGATTACCATCTTTACTGCACATATCTAAGTTGCATGTTAAATATTTCCTGACAATAATTCATTGAGTTCATTGTTTACATCAAACATAACTTGGCAGGTTTACTCACCATCTGTGAGGAAATTGCAGGTGAAATTCTGTTTGAAACATAGCTCAGTTATGCCTAAACTCTTTAAAGGATTTAGACTGGAAAATGATTTAATGGTAGCTTGATTAATGGATGTTTTTGTGCCCCAAATCAAATAGGGTGTGCTAGTTAAAGGAGCAATCTAAAGCTGAGGCTGGTGGCTGTGCCTGTGTTTCCTGTACTTAGAAGGTAGAACTAGGCAGAGCTCAAGAAGTTCAAGGCCAGCCTGGGCTACATACAGCCTAAATCATATGAACCTTTTCTAAAAACAATACACACACACATACACACATACACACACACGCACACACACATGCGCGCACGCACATATGCATACAAGGGTAAAGATCTAGAAATGTCTAGAACTTCATGAAATAATTAATATTAATAATAAAGATGAGAAGCTTTAAAGATGTTGAAGCAGCCAGAATGAAACACAGTGTTGTTGAGGAAAAAATTGATTGAATTGAAGAAATGAAAACACAGCTTCTTCTTTTTGTTTTGGACCTTGGTCCACTCCACCCGTCCAATCCTATCTTATGCTACCCTGTCCCACCTCTAGCTGCATTATCAGGCATAAAGAAGTCGTGTCATGGACCCTGAAAGCTGAAGTGGTCATTACAGAAAGTCACTCCTGGAAATGAGCCACACAGACACGAGGTTAAATGACTCCAGGCTCTGGGGACACCAAGAAGCACAGTAGAACCTTCTGCATACAGAAGGACAATGCATACAAAAATGTGGACGGCACAGTCCGTCTGGTCTACCCCCTCTATACATAGAAGATAGAGATTCTGACCTGTAAACTTTGCTGGAAAATGTCTCCCGTTCCAGAAGATATTCTACAGAAAGCTTCAGTCATTCTGTTGGGATTAGATTTATCTGGAATGAAGAACTTTAACCCTCCTGAAACACATGATTTGAACGCCAACTATTAAGATAGAAAAAATAAAGACGACATCTTCCCTGACACACCGTGTCTGTACTAGTGTGTTAGTCTGGAGTTAGTAGGAGGTGGTCTTGTCTCATTGTGAATGACATCTCATATATCTATTTGGCTAGTGGCCTTAGGTGATTTTTTTGCTGTCAATTCGTGGCTCTTTTTTTCAGGTTTTTGTGTTCTGCCCACTATAGAAGAACTTAGTAAATACTTACCGACTAGTCTTAGATCAAAATAATTCCTAAATAATCTAGATTGATTGCTAGTTGTTACATTGCTCTGTATTTGTACTTATATTCTGAGATCACCCCATTTTTAAAATATCCAATAAATCTTAATTTTCAGTGGTTCATTTTGTTGGATTAATTTTTATGGAATGTACGATGAAGTTATTCTTTGCCTTGTCTAGAAAAAAGAAGACATGTAAATCTCACAGTGGCGCTTGTATGTGTATGCTAGAAGTTGTTGCAGTTGTCTGATATGATTTCAGTTTCAGAAATATGCATTCTCAATCTGGCTTAATAAAATCATAAAAAATACTATTTGCATTAGATGTACAAAACTTCAATTCTAGGGAAAACATTTTTTTATATTTTACATTTTGTATTTTATTTTTAAATTCTTTTTTTTAAATTTACTTATTTATTTATTTATAAAAATTTCCACTTCCTCCCCTCCTCCCATCTAGGGAAAACATTTTAAAATTGGAAAAATTTTTAGCTAATTTTAGCAATGATTTGTGTGTTTTAGAAGAAATCTTTCCCGTTTTTTCCCCCAATAAAGACACATAACCTGGGCTTCATAGCTGAACTTTGAATGTTCAGTTTTCAGGGCATGCTCTGAAAGATACCTTCTTGAGAGGCTTTTACCTGTAAGATGTGATAATTCCTCCAGTTTACCGGCAGCAGAGGAACCCAGGGCAATGGAGTGAATGGTGACCCCGCTGCCCACCGCGCTGAGCAGACAGTTGCTGATGTGCTCATCTGCTCCGCTGGTCACCAATATCATGACAGAGCCGTCGGCTCTCCCATTCCTCTTCTCAAGCACCTGAACAGAGATAGCCAGCATTGCTTAGGAGGAAATGTGATTCAAACTGTCTCACTAAACAAAGGAATCCATGCTCATATACAATGGCTACCAGTGTTGCCTATACCTCTTCGAGGTCTGCTGTGCTCTGTGACCACCTCCAAGTTGGCTCCACCTCACTCCATCACAGTGCAGTTATACAGACTTGGCCTCATAGAAGGTACTATGCACGTTATGGGACGAGACCCTTGCCTTTAAGACCCAGTGTTGGAGGACATTCCTCTGACTCTGCCTTCTTCCTCCCAGCATTCAGGCTAGTTTTCTCCACCTACCTATGTCCTGCCTTATGAACAGGCTAAGGCAGTTTCTTTATTCATTAACCAATAAAAGCAAAACATAGATAGAATTACCTACCACACCATTGGAAGAAGGCAGAGTCAGAGAGATGCCATGCAGCTGCCACCGGAGATAGACATGCCAAAACTTTACCAGTAAGCCACTGCCATGTGGCAATACACAGATTAATGGAAATGGGTTAAATTTAATATAAGACTTAGCCAATAAGAAGCTGGAGCTAATGGGCCAAGCAGTGATTTAATTAATACAGTTTCTGTGTGATTATTTCAGGTCTAAACTAGCCAGGTGGCCGGGAACCAACAAAGGGGCCTCCCTCCAACAACTCAGCCAGTGACCCATAAGAGGACTGAGAGCAATGGCTCTCACCCTTAGCTACATGGTAGAATTAGAAGGGAGTGTTTAAACAATTCATTGCCAAGCCATACCCCAGATCAATAACATCAGAACCGCAAGACATGAAACTCAGGCATCAAGGGCTTGTTTTTGTTTGTATGCCGAGATTGAACCTAAAGTCAAGTGCACACTAAGCTGCACTCTACCACTGAGCCCATCACCACCTCCTATTTTTCAATCAGGCAATGTCAGTGGGCAGCTTAGGTTGAACAACTGTTGGCTAGGGATGGAAATAGTCCTATGTGGTGTCTTTTTTTCTATCAGATTTATACATGTGTGCTTCAGATGCTGATTTAGATAAATCCTGTCAATCCTGAAACATATATCTAGGCTTAATTTTGTGTGTGTGTGTGTGTGTGTGTATGTGTGTGCGTGCACGCACGCACGCGCGCCCTGGTTTGTGGGTCCACACATCTGTGTAAGTGTTGATTTATTTATCTTCTCAGACTCTCTTGATTCTTACATTTGAAATCTGGTGTGTCTGTAAGCAGGAGACCAAAAATGCTAATTTTGCCTTGAAACATACAAGGATAACAATCGCCACAGCTGGGGCCACTTCAGAATAAGCAGGGACAGTTTGGAAAGACTCTGGATGGACACTTAAGTCCCTTAGCCATGCCCATTGTACTTTATAGGTACTCATTCTTTTAGCAAGCAGTTCTTAATTAATTATGACATTGACTACTTCGTTAAGCCCAGGGAGTGCAATGGGAGTAAGAAATGGGGTCCTGACTTTAGGAATGATGCACCTTTACTCCCTAACAGCTGAGGCTGCTGTGACCACCCTATAACAGAACACCTCTTTTCAAAAACAAAAACAAAAATATGCAACAAACAAACAAACAAACAACCCCCCCCAAACTGAGATTCAAAACGAAAAAGAAGGCCGTCATGGCAGCTGAGACCTAGGGTACACTACCTCGAAGCCTCTTTTAACGCCTGCGCAGGTGTTTGCTTCTTCTTCGGTGGACACACTGGTGGGCAGATAGGAAACCAGCCGCCTCCGGTCACCGTCAGTGTTCATTTGCTGTAGCTGGGCTCTGATTTCTCCTTTGCTGCCAAAGGTGACAATGCCCACGAACGTGCGCACTTCAACAACTTGCATTAAGTACAACTCGACTGCTTGCTGCAGTCGAAGGAGTCTGTCCGCCTTGGTCCCCAGGAGAAAAGAACAAAAGAGAAGGGGAAGTGTAACATGAAGGGGCCTGTTTGTTGGGGTTTTCTGTCCTGCCCAGCCCCCCCCCCCAACTGTTTAATCCCAAAAGAAAATAACACTGAGATCTCTATAAGTTATAAAGCTGATTGTCCCATTAGGTCAGGCTACTTATTAGCTACCTCTCACATCTTGATTAACCCATTTTTCTGATCTATTTTAGCCATATGGCTCTGTACCTTTTCCAGCTGGCAGATCACATACTGCTACTTCGGTTGTCTGGGCAGGAGTGGGAGGAATCAGCTTCCTCCTCCCCAGAATTCTCTCTCTCTTTGCATCATTTCCACTTCCTGTCTGGTTTTCCTGCCTATACCTCCTGCCTGGCCAATCAGCGTTTATTTAAAACATGATTGACAGAATACAGACAATTCTCCCACACCAGGGAAGTGATATGTGATTGGTTGACCAATGATGATGACGTGATTCAATTAGCAAAAATGTCTGCTCATCTTTCACAGGCACTGGACAGGTCTTTGAGTTGGAAAAAGTGGCATAGCGCTGGAACCTCTTTTTCCGGTTAAGCATATACTTGACACACGATTCAGTGTGCTGGTTGTGCAGAAGAGAGAGTGCTGAGGAACAAGTTGCTCACAATTAAGATGACACACCCTCCCCATTTCACTCCTTCCTGCTCAGAATTTAACAACCTATGATGTCAATTGAGAATAGACTTGTAACTTTTTTTTAAATTCAGTCCAAGTGAGAGGCAGCATCACACAGAGTTCTGGTAATAGAGAGGTGTGCTGATCTGCACACCAGTGTCCATCCCTCAGCCATGGTGGTCATTTGAGGCTAGACTCTGTGCCTATAGAGTCAGCACAATGCTATGTTCGTTGGCTGGATTTGTACATAACAGGCACTCATCAAGCACAAAGATAATGCGACCAACTAATTCTCTTGGGTACTTTTTTTGGTGGCTCTGAAAGGAGAGAAGGAAGCAGCCTGCTGAATCCCAGTGATCACCTGCTCCTAGATGGTTGTGACCTCTGTCTTTTGATATCCTCTTTGCTATCCAGACCTGCCTCTCCCCCTTCTCAGGACCCACCACCAATTTAATATCTCATTAATACTGCAGACTAGATAACATTTTGATTTATTGCCCCTATTCCCAGAAATTACTTCTCTTACAAGCTGGGAAGAAGTTTAGTAGGGAGACATGAACCTTGAATTCTGCCTCGGCCTTTCAAAATTATGTGGGCATAGAAAACATTACTACTTGGTGGCTTTGATTCTTTCTGTCACGGAGCACAGGGACTGAGGGGGAACACACCAGCCTTTGCCTTCATCACGGTGGCTGTGCCATCATTCCTAGTCACAGCCCCTAAGAGTGACTGGAGTGTGACCAGGCAACAGCTTTTTATTGCATTTAAGTTTTAGAAAACGGTCTTGGGGGAGAAAAGCTACAATTAACAGCAGCACAGGGTTGCTAATGGGCTTAGGGATTCTGTGTGAATTTCATTTATCTCACCATCTCAAACTCCAGGCCTCCTTCTGAGTGTGTCCTACCCATTTTCCAAGAAAATAAGATATCTTGGACTCTTTAAAAACTTGTAGTGTCTTCCCTCATCATACTCTGAACAAAATAGAGCTAAAACCTGATGGGGAATGGAAAGAATGGGCTTTGGTCCTTTGGAATCTATGTGTTACCTCTGACATCTTCTTGGACACATCCATCACTAAGCAGATGACTTTGTCCCCAGCTTGCATGAGGGAGAACGTGGGAGGAGGTGGAAGCTCAACCCCGCGCATGGGGAGGCTGTGATGAAAGTCAGAGGACTCCGTGATTACATCCCAAGTGCTCCTGAGGCTGCACTTTTGGTTCTGTGGGTTTGGGGCTTCATAGTTATGGGTGCTCGCATTGCAGAATTCAACCACCTGGAAAAGCAAAAAACACCCTGAGTTCCCAGACCAGAACCCTTCTTGTTCTCTGTAGGCCACAGGTAAAAGAAGGACAGAGCTGAAAGCAAGGTCTCCTGCATCCTTGTTTTCAAAAGTGACAGCAAGTTTGCAAATAACTCTTGACACCTTTTGTTTGACAGAGTAGTGCCTTGAGGTCACAGGAGCAATCGCTTGTAAAAGCGTGTTTGCACTAAGAAAACAGAGCAGACTGTGTATATATGCCTTAGCCTTAAATAAAACAACCCCCCTCCTCCCTTGGATAATACTGTGTTAAAGAAACACCCTAGGTGAATATGTCAACCCGACCAGCCCATTCTTTCGAATCCCATTATGTGACACTGTGTCTTTTCTAAGGATCAGTCAATATACATTGATCTAGTGCAAATATTGATCTCTGTGAGGGTAAGAGGAGGGCAAAACAACTTAAATCTCCTTCCTGAAACTCTTTTCGCTTTGGAAATTGAACTGGTGTTAATTCATTTAAGGATAATCCACCTATGCCAGCATTCCCCATTAAAGTTACAGGTTTTGCAATGCAAGAAAATGCCTGTCTATTCTCAGTGGCTCTGGCCCTACGAAGAACAAAAAAAAGAGCCACTGGAGCTTAGAGTTTGAAAGAACTTTATGGGTTGCCTGACTTCATCTCTGATTCCACGGAGGATGAAGCTTAGCTGGGTAACACCTGCTTAGTTTTTCAGTGGGGTGGGGTCAGGGGCACACCTGTGCTGCTTCGTTGAGCGTTTTTATGCCGACATTTCATGACTGTACAAGGTGATTTTTAAATTTTTGTGACTGGATATGTTTGAGTAGGTTTTATTTTCAAGGGGTTAAAAAGATTTTATCTAATCACAGATAACATGGATCAACTATCTAGAACTGGGTTCAGGACAGATATGAAAGATATAAATTAAAAAAAATAGAACAGATAAAGGCAAGAAATACCAACAGTCATGTTCATATTGCAAAGGACTCCTACCATTAACTAAAACCAGGCTGTTGAAACAAGCTAGTAAAATGAAGAAAAGAAGGAAGAAAAGATGGACTCAAGGGAGGAATGGAGGGGAAAGAGGGGTGAATAGAGGGGGAATGTTTTTAATGCAAGCAGGATTGATCGGCAGTGCAACAAGGAGAACACTCCAGAAAAACACGTGCTCACCACACCCCCTGCCCAGGAGAGAAAAGATATTCAGATAATGACTTTCAAGTCTTTGGAAAATGCAATAGGCAAATGGAGCCACACAGGCTGGTCCCATTATATCTATGAACTAGCCAACTCCCTCCTTCTTGACTCTATGCTTTCTTCTAGTGCAAGATTCGTGTGACAGTTTAAGTATATGTGTGACATCCTTAAAGAAAATGAACTGAGGCCGAGTGGTGGTGGCACACAACTTTAACCCCAGCACTTGGGAGACAGAGGCAGGCAGATCTCTGGGAGTTTGATGTCTGCCTGGTCTACAAGAGCTAGTTCCAGTGCAGGCACCAAAGCTACAGAGAAACCTTGTCAAAGAAAAGAAGAAGAAGAAGAAGAAGAAGAAGAAGAAGAAGAAGAAGAAGAA